GCTCACGTCTCCAGAACATGCGCACGTTTCCGCGGGACGCAAAGCCCCGTGCTCACGTCTCCACAACAACACGCCGTTCGGGCCCGGGCGCGGCGCAGTCTCGTTGCGCCACGCCACGCCGTCGACCGGATGGCGGTTTGGCCCCGGCGCCCCGCGGACGGCGCTCGAGAGCTGCGCTCCCGCCCCGGCGGCGCGCAGTGTGCGGCGATCGCCCGAGGCGTTGGGGGGCCCCGCGCGGGCGGGCGACCTGCCGCCCTCGCCCGCGCTGCGTGCACAGCCTGGGGGTGGCGCGCGCTCCGTTCGCTGCGCCGCCGGCGCGCGAGGAGCCCCTCGGGTCATGGGCAGCATCGCGACGGGAGGTGTCGGGCGGTTGCCGAGGCCCTGCGGCCCGTGCCGCCGACCCTGGAGGCCTCGGCCCTCGACGGAAGTGGGATGGTGAGGGCGGGCCATGGGCCCCTGGAGGGTGGTAGATTCTGGCCCGGGGCCACCCCAGGGACCCCACCCCCCTTCTGCGGGGAAGGGATCACAGGGAAGGGGCTTCCTTCGACTCAATGACAACGTTGCTTGATTTCGCTGTGGATGTGTTGGTGTGTTTCGCTTTGGCTGGCGTGCTTGAGAACGAGGGCCCAAGGAAAGGGGGAGGAGCGGCGACGGACTCAGGGGAAGGAGGGGACGTGATAGTGGCGGCGACGCGACGGCGGCAGCGACGGCGATGGCGACGGAACAGCCCCTGTCACACGCCGACAGGGTCGGCCTCGGGTCATGGGCAAACTCGCCACGGGAGGTTTGGGGCTGTTTTCGACCTTTGAGGGGTCCTCGCTGGGCCCTGGGACCGTCGAAAAAGACTCAAGATGAAAGACTGGTCCTGGGGAAGAGGTCGAGACCTTCGGGCCTCTAGGTGTCGACGCCGTGGAAAATTCGTGGCGTCGGGGGTCGGGGCCAGGTGTCAGCACGTCGGGGCCGCACGAGAGCGTGCGCAGCGCAGTCTTCGCCCAAGCGCCGCGCAGTCTGTGCGCGAGAGAGGCAGTGCTGCTTCGGCGCGGCGCACGCTTCGTCTTCGCTGCGCTCATCGGAAGTTGCGCCGTCTCCGCCCTCGCGTGGCCCGCGTTGTTTTCCCTTCGCCAAGTCGTCGGGAGAGGGGCCGAGGCCTAGCGCGTTCTGTTCGCTGGGCGGGAACGCGTTCCAATCTCGATACCAAAGCGTGCCACACTCGAGTTTATGTTGTCAGACGGAAATTAAGAATGGGCGGGGCCTGCTGACTCAGTCGACCTGGCTAACTTGACTTCTGATCCCACTCCCGCTCACTCTTCCGTAATTGACTCGGCCGTTTCGCTTGATAACGTTCACCGCCAATGACATTCAAGTTTTTTTCCTCATTCGTTGCACGGACGGAGGGGGGTTTATCGGTTTGGCGCTGGTCAGGCTCGTCTTCAAGGTGTCTCACAGCTTCACGGATGGAGGGCGATTGCTTTTCAAGACGACGCGGTTCTAGTCTTAAGTCGGGCTTGTCCCAGGGGGAGTATTCAAAAATAGTAGAGAAATAGTCTGGGGACTTTTTTTTGTTTTTGTTTTTTTCCCCCCAATTTTGGAGTATGTTTGGAATCTGTTGTTTCGTCGAAAATCCCCTTGTAGGGGGACACGCCCGACTTAAGTCTAGTCTTGGCGCCGTGCGCATCCATCCTCCAGGCGCAGTCTGGTGGGGGCGGGGAGGGCCTCCGCGGAGGACGCCGTGCGTGGCTTGCCCGGAGGGGCCGGGATCCGGCGGGGCCGCAGGCACTGCCCGAAGGGTCCTTGCCGACCAAACCACAACCCAGACATGATCGCGTCGTAACAAAAATCCGGACGGCGGGTTTTCGGCCGTTTTCGGCCTCGTGGGGCCCTCGCCGGGCCTCGGGACCGTCAAAGAACGACTCAGGATGAAAAACCGGTCCCGGGAGAAGGTTCGGGACTTCCAGGGACGCCGTCCAGGAAAAAAATCAGGACGTCGCATGTCTGGGAACGGTGCGGCTCGCCCCGGCCCATTGTGGACCACCACCTGTTTCCCCTCGGCCCCGACGACCCCAGCCCCGACGACCCCCGACGACCCCGACGACCGCAAACCTCCTGGCAACCCTGGCGTGCTCCTCCAGCGTTTCGCCTGCGCTGCCGCCTGGTCGGTGTCGTTGTCGCAGTGGCCGCACTCTGTGTCCCTCAATAGTTCTGGGGGTACCTGTAGTCCGGGTAGGGTACCTGTAATCCGGGGGAGGGTACCAGTAGTCCGGGGTACCTGTAGTCCAGGGGAAGGGTTCTTGTAGTCTGGGAATGGTACCTGCAGTTTGGGGGGGAACGCGTGTTTACGCATCAACGCACGCGTGGATGTAGTCCTGTGGGGGTACCTGTAGTCGGGGGGGGGGACTTGTAGTCCAGGGGAGGGGTACCTGCAATTCGGGGAGATGGTACCTGTAGTCCGGGGGGGTCCTGTAGTCCGGGGGCCCAGAATGAGGGACGCAAGCGGCCCCCGGCCCGGCCCGCTTGCTTGCGGCTGCTTTCCCCTTTTCTCTCTCTTCTCTACCCTGACTCTGGATCCGCCCTACTTTTGGGAAATTCGTAAGCTTTTCAAGCCCCGTTGATGCCAATTTCCGCCCTACTTTTCTGTGGCTGTTTCCGCCCTGCTTCTGTGGATTTCCACCCCACTTTATGTTGAGTGCAGAAATTTCCGCCCTACTGTTTCGGCTTCTTATTGAGTGGATTTCCGACGCAACTTTAAAGTGAAAAAAGGCCAAAATAGGGCGGATCTGGAGTCAGGGTACCCCTTGCGGCTGCTCCGTCGCCCTCGCCTTTCGCCCCCCAGCTTCTCGCGCGACTGCCGTGTCCCCCGTGCCTCTTGCCCGTCCGCCTGCCTCGCCCCGCCGGCCCTGGCCGCTCGCCTGCGCGTTCGTCGTCGTGTGTGCGTGTGTGCGTGTGTGCGTGTGTGTCCTCCGGCTCCTGTCCAAGGCGTTCCTTTTCCTGTGCAAGCCCTCGGCACCGCCTGCACCCCGGCCCGCCCTCCGGCCGCCTGAGGCCCCGCCCACCTGTTCGCTCTCGCCCCGCAGAACAAAAAGTGTGTGTGTGGGTGTGTGTGTGCACGTGTGTGCACGTGTGTGTGCGTGTGTGCGTGTGCGTGTGTGTGTGTGTGTGTGTGTGTGCGTGTGCGTGTGTGTGTGTGTGGGTGCGTGCGTGCGTGCGTGCGTGCGTGCGTGCGTGCGTGCGTGCGTGCGTGCGTGCGTGCGTGCGTGCGTGCGTGCGTGCGTGCGTGCGTGCGTGCGTGCGTGCGTGCGTGCGTGCGTGCGTGCGTGCGTGCGTGCGTGCGTGCGTGCGTGCGTGCGTGCGTGCGTGCGTGCGTGCGTGCGTGCGTGCGTGCGTGCGTGCGTGCGTGCGTGTGTGTGTGTGTGTGTGTGCGTGTGTGTGTGTGTGTGTGTGTGTGCGTGTGTGTTTGTGTGTGTTCCTCTCTCTCTTCGTCCGCCGGAGCAGTCACCCTCTGCCCAGCCGCCGACGCAAAAAGCGTGTGTTCCTCCCCCTTGTGCTCCCTCTCTGGCCGGGCAGCACCGGCCAGCGGGAGTTGCGGCGGCGTGGTTCTGGTCCGCCTCTGGGAACGCTTTCGCGGAGAAACATGCCCAGCAATTGCACGGATGGAGGGCGGTTGGTTTCGGCATGGGGCCAGCGGCTATCGATTGACGGCATTTTTGTTCTTCTTCCACTTGAAGGTCAGGTTGACGGAGGGCGGATTTTTCAACGTGGGGCTTTCCCTGGAACTCTCCTCCTACCTCACCGCCTCGCTGGATGATGGGTGGCCTCTTTCACAGCCGATGCCCTGGCATGAGTGGCCGGCCCGCGGGGCGCCGTGAGGGATTTGGAAGGGGAGAGATAACCGCACGCCGATGATAATAAAGGGACCCCCCTCCCCTTCAGTGTTTAGAGTTGATTATCGTCGCCCTATACAAAATTCAAATTGGGCGGCGAGCGCTGAGGCCGAACTTCATTATCACCTCGAGACGCTATGTTGAGATAACAACATCAAGCGATGTTGATATAGCAACATCAAGCGAAGCGATCACACTTTTTCTGGATGTGTCAAGCGAAACCAATAATTTTGGGAGGCAGACTCAAACGAAACGAGCAATGTTCTTATTATTATTATAATTTCCTCTTCTTCTTTTATATTTCTATCTGTTCTCACGCTCGCCTGAACTTTTTTATCCCTGGGGTTGATTATCCATGGAAAATGAAGCACATGAGCTACCCTACACGAGCACTTAAAAAATCAATTGTCATAAAGCGTTTGTAAATTAAAATTGTTAGATGTGGAACTTTGGATTTTTCCTTTCTTCGTCCTCTTCTTATTCTCCTCTTCTTCTTCTTTCTTATTATTCTTCTACTGTATTCTTCTTCTTTTATATTTCTCTCTGTCCCCACGCTCGCCTGAATTTTTTTATCTCTGGGGTTGATTATCCATGGAAATTGAGGCACATGAGCTACCCTACACGAGCACTTACAAAAAAACAGTTTTCATGAGAGATAAGCCATTGTTGAGGATATTTCTATGAAAACTAAACGCCAAGGATGTCTCAAAACGTGCTCGGCTTGGTCTCCTCTTGATCATCTCGTACTTCGAGATTCTGCTGAGGTTTGCTGGGCTACTTTTATTATCTCTCCCTGAACCCCGAACTTTATTATCCCCTAGTGTTTATTCTCACGGGCATGAGGTTACTGTGCCACTCTTGATGCGTCGGAGTCCTGGTGTTCTGTCGGTCCTTCTCTTCCTCCTCTTCCGCCCCCCTTCTCCTGGCTCGTCGTCCTCCTCCCGCCATGCTCCTCCCCCGTGCCTCCCTCACTCCCTCTCCCCTCCTCCCCACCCTCCACATCCTCCTCGCCCTCCCTCCTTCCCCCTCCCTCTGTCTACTCATCCTCATCTCTCCTCTCTCCCCCCTCTGCCCCCCCTCCCTCCCTCTGCCCCCGTTCATGCCCCCTTCACTCCTTTCAAGGCGGACAGGATTCCGATCGTGAGGGGCACCCGCATCGTGCAGCAGCTAGGTGGTTCCCTGCTCGACACGGAGGCCACGCGCTCCAGTCGCTCTGCGGGGGGTGAGGACGACGACGAACACGAGGACGAGGATGAGTAGGAGGAGTAGGAGGAGGAGGAGGAGGAGGAGGACGACGACGACTACGACGACGACGAAAAGGAGAAGGATGACGAAAAGGAAGATGAGGAGGAGGAGGAAGAGGAGGAGGAGGAGGAGAAGGAGGAGAAAGGCCATATGCGGGATCCAGCCCCGCGCTCGCCCCCTGGCGCCGCACCGGTCCGCGCGCACCCCTCCAGGGTGGCTGACCTTGGCCCGCCGGTCGCTGGGTATGGACCGCTGGAGGTGCGGCGAGCGGCATGCGGCCTCGTGGGCGAGCTACATGCCAGACATCTACAACAGCTGTCGAAGTGGAAGCCAGTGCAACATAGGCCACGAGACTCATGGTGTGTTCCAAAGACGACCGCCAGCAGTATGACACCAACTGCGCCACCAAGAACGACACCAGGAACGACGCGACTGAGCAGACCGAAGGGGTTACTAAGTGCGTCGGCGTGGAGGTGCCGGTGGACGACGGCCGCGCCGCCCGCGACGAGCGCGTCAAGGGCCCGGACGCATAGTGCCAGCACAATCACGGCAATTTTTGCCCGATGGCCACCTGCACTCCTTGTGACCCCCATTACGCCACTGGCCGCCAGGACGTCCAACATTGCGACTTGGCAGCCGACGACTCCGATTCGCACCTCGAGGACGACGAAAAGAGCGTGCCGTCTCGGCTACTACAGCCGCCAGCAGAGCTACCAGGGCCACCAGACGACCTTCGGGGACCACAGTGTGAACTACGAGGGCTCCAAGCTGAGCCACGAGAGCCACCGGGAGTGGTGCCAGGGCCACCCGCTGACCGCCAGCAGAGCTACGAAGGCAACCGGCTGAGCTATGAAGGCGACAGGCTGAACTACTAGAGCCGCCAGCAGGGCTACGAGGACCGCAACTTGACTTACGGAAGCCACTGGCAGAGCTACCCATGCCACCTGCTGAGCTTCCACAGCTTCCAACAGTTCTACGAGGGCCACCAGCTCAACGACGAGGGCCTCCAGCTGAGCCACGAGAGACACCAGGAATGGTACCAGGGCCGCCTGCTAATCAACACGGGCAACGAGATCAGCGGCAAGGGCCACAAGTTGAATTACGAGGGCCACAAGAAGGGCTACGAGGACCACAACCTGAGCCACGGGAGCCACTGGCAGACCTGCCTGGGCGAACTGCTGAGCTACCCAGAGTTTCCAACAAACCTACGAGGGCCACCAGCTGAACTACAAGGACAACAAACACAGCGACAAGTGCCACAAGCACGACTACTAGGGCATCAAGCTGAACCACAGGATGCACCGGGAGAGGTGCCAGGGCCACCTGCTGAGCTACCACCAGAGCTACAAAAGCATGTCGTTCAACTGCGAGGGCCACAGGCCGTACTACGAGGGCCACAACCAGAGTTGTGAGGACCAGGACCTGAGCTACGGGAGGCACTTGCAGAGCTACCACCCAGGCCACCTGCTGAGCTACCAGAGCAACCGGCTGAGCTACGACGACCAAAGTCAGGGCTGCGAGGCCCACAGCTTGCTTTACGGAAACCATTGGCAGAGTGGCCCAGGCTGCTTGCTGGGCTACCTGATTTTCCAGCAGACTTACGAGTGCCGGCAGCACATCTACGAGGCTCACAAGCACAGCTTCGACGGCTACGGCGGCAACCAGCAAGCGCGGCTTCAGCCTGAACTACGAGGGCAAGCAGCTGAGCTACGTGGGCAACCAGATGCGCCACCAGAGTTGCGAGGGCCACGAGTTGAGCTACGAGGACCGCAAGGAGAAAGACTTGAGTCCCCTGAAGAGCTACCAGAGCGACAAGCTGAACTGATAGGACCTGGAGCAGAACAGCGTGAACCACCAGCCCAGGTTCGAGGGCCAACCACACAGCTACGAGGGCCACAGCCTGGACAACGCGGTCCTCAAGAAACGCTACAAGAGCCTTCTACTGAGCTGCGTGGGCAAAGAGCTGAACTGCCAGCCAGTTGAGCTACAAGCTGTGCTACGAGGGCCGCAAGCAGAGCGACGAGATTTACTAGAAGTCCTACCAGGACCACCTGCTGTTCTACAAGACACTGCAGCACAGCTAGCAGGGCCATCAGCTAAGCTGCAACATGCGCTGAGCTACGGGAGCAACCTGCAGGGCGACGGGGACCAGCAAAGCTACCAGGGCTTGTCTATGCACTACGAGATCCTCGTGACGAACACCAAGGCCCGCGGAAGACCTGGACCACCAAAAAGCCGATCGCAATCGGCGACGCAGTACAAGGCAGGTTCGGCGAGATGTGCCACGATATAGTGGACGAAACGTCCGCCACAGTCCGCTCGTTGGATGGCACTACGTGCCTGCTCCACTGGGCGGCAGGCACTCCGAACGCCGCAATAATTGCGGCGAGACTGGCCTGCTAGAAGCCGGAGAAGACTACGACCTACAGCGCTCAATGCATCGTTACACACAAGATACATACCAGGAGGGGAAAACACAGACACACTAAATCGTCCATTCCCAGGAAAACATAGGAAAATATTGGAAGTGGGGGGATGACGAAAACCTGGAAAATATATGATAATATTGGGAATCCTTTTATTTGTGTGTATTTATTTGTGTGTCCCAGGGCCCGTTCAATATAAGCTGCTTCAAGTTGGCGCTGAGCTACTACATCATGTGAGCGGCCCGGCCGCTCCCTCCACTTCCACATGTTCTTCGCTGGGCTTCGCCAGGATTAGAGGTGATAAGGTGGCATCTAGGTGATAAGGGTGATAAGGATAATAAGGATAAGGATGGTAAGGACTTCTCCATCCTCCCTTCCCTTTCCCCGTAAGGTCCCCCGGTGGCGTCCAGGGGGCTCCAGTCACGCGTCGGCCGGAACCCGCGCGCGTGTGGGTGGATTGGGAAAAGCAAAAGCCGCTGAGAGAGAGAGAGAGAGAACCAAAAAAGGGGAGGAGGCGGGGAGGAGGAGGAGCAGGAGGAGCAGGAGGAGCAGGAGGAGCAGGAGGAGGAACTGGAGGAGGAGGAGGAGGAGGAGAAGGAGGAGGGACTGGAGGAGAGGGAGGAGGCGGAGGATGCGGACGAGGAGGACGGAGGATGCGGACGAGGAGGAGGAGGAGGAGGAGGAGGAGGAGGAGGAGGAAGAGGGTGAGGACGAGGAGGAGGGTCGGGATCGGGCTCGTGGACTTCGGGCGTCTGATCGAAGCTACCGCGAGGGCTTGAAACTCTGCCGCGCGTGAACTCTGAGTGACGGAGCTCGGTTGGCGGAGGAGGATGAAGACGAGAAGGAGGAGGAGCAGGAGGAGGAGGAGGAGGGACTGTGCGAGTTGTTAACCCCCTCCCCCCGCCGCTTGTCGCCCGTGGGCCATACCTCGGATTTGGGCACCGCCGATTCGGCGGGGTTCTATCCGCCTTCGGCGCAGACAGTCCCCCCCGAGGAACGGGATCTCTGTGTTGTAATTCCTGGCGTGCACTGGCCTCCTCTCTTGTGCAACCGACTTCCTTCCTGTGCAACCAAGAAAGGCCCGTTGCTGGCATGGGCAGATCGTAGCAAGGCGGAGGCCGCTGGTGATTGACCCGTAAACGACGCTTGCACTGCTTACAACATAGCCGGGGTGTTTGCTCCAGAGCTTGCCCAGGCCGTAGCACCATTAACAAGGGGGCAACGTCGTCCTTGTTTTTTTTGTTATATATAAAACAAACCTTGGCACGCATTGGGTTGGGCCGCACATTTCGGGATTGCCCTCGTCGTCGGGCTGTAGGCGTCAATCGTGATGTCACGGCCATGCCAGTATGCGCATCAGCACCCGAGGAGGAAGAGGGGTGAGAGGGGGAGGAGGGCAGGCAGAGGGTAAGGAGGTGGAGGAGTTACGAATGGTGTCTCTCATCTCTCCCCCCCAGGGTGCAAGGGGACCTGGGGGAGTTTTGCTGTCGCTTCATTTGTTCCCAAATACCTAGTTCAGTCAGCCCTTCCCCCAGGGTCGACCAACCTTTAAGGGGGGTGATGGCTGCCTCAGGTTGACACTCTATAACTAGCCAATAACTGCGAAGTTCTCAAGTGAAGGAGGGAGGAGGTGGGGACGATGAGGAGGGCTGGAACTCACAGTCGTTGGGTGTGAATCGGACGCACATGCGTGGAAGAGTAAGGAAATATTAGAGGGTCATTTGCAGAGCTCCCATCGAATGGGATATTGTCACCTGGCCGGGGGCGACATCTAGCCAGGGGCCAGCGACAAGGGGCTCGCCCAGGCTAACAGAGACCATAATTTCCCAGCCAAGGCTGGGATGAGGTGGAGGTGAAGGAGGAGGAGGAGGAGGCGGAGAAGGAGGAGCAGGAGGAGCGACAGCAGGAGGAGGAGGAGGAGGACGAGGAGTGGACGGAGGAGAATCATCATGCATCCATGTATACATAGCACACGTGCATAGCTGACATGTTGGTGCAAGAATCATGATGCAGCAGAAGGAGGAGCGGGAAGATGAGCAGGAGGAGAGGGAGCACGAGAACCGGGAAGGGCAGGCTCGGGAAAATGCAGACGTACGCCTGCCCCACCTCTTCGGGCAGAGGGGTCCCCCTCCTCCCCCTCCTCCTCTGCCTCCTCCTCCTCCTCCTCCTCTCCTCCTCCTCCTCCTCCTCCTCCTCCTCCTCCTCCTCCCCCTCCTCCCCCTCCTCCTCCCCTCCCCCTCCTCCCCCTCCTCCCCCTCCTCCCCCTCCTCCTCCCCCTCCCCCTCCCCAGGGCAGGGGAAGCGAAGCTGCGGGGGGGGAGGGCGCGGCACTTGGAGTGGGCAGAAGGGCGCGGCGGGGACCGAGGGCGACGGGGAGGGCGCGCCGTTGCGCGGCCACCTGCATCTTCCGGAGGTGGACAGACCTCCTACCCTGACACGTCGATTAGTGAATTGGCCGTTTTCGGTTCGCGAGAGGGCGCCGCGGCCGTCAGTTTTGCGTGTCCCGGTCCGTCGGTTTCGGTCCCAGGCCGTTTTCACCAAGGGGAGGTTTATTCAAGGGAGGTTTGTCCACCGCCGCATCTTCCGACCCTCCCTCCGCGGGGTTGGAGCCGGGGCTCCTGCAGGCCGGGGCGGCAGGAGGATGGGGCGGTGGAGCGGGAGAAGGCTTTTCAAGATGGTAGCAAGATAGTCCTGTGAGGACCTGTTCTACTGTGTTTGAGCACGTTCGACTCTTTCTGAATAGGTTTGACTATTCTTGAATACGTCTGGCTATTTTTTGGCAGCGGCGGGAGCAGGCGGAGGAGAGGGCGAGGGAGCCGCCGGGAGGAGAGGAGCCGGGTCCAGCCCGTGCAGCGTCGGGGCACGGACCGCTGTCGCGTGCTCCGTCGCGCACGTGCGCTGCGCACCGGAGTGCCCGGCAGCGGCAGAGGCGCGGGGGAGCTCTGGAGCAGGAGCAGCAGCACGGGGAAGGCGCACGAGCAGAGGCGGCAGGATGAGATCGGCAGGTACTCCTGCACGAGCGACATGGGTACGGAAAGAATGGGTACCATGCTCAACAGCGGATCGTGTTCATTTTGGCGAGGACTCGCTGTCCGCGCCGCCGCGGCCTGTGTCCATTCGAGGCAGAAGGCCGCCTACCCAACAGCGGCCGCTGTTGGTTCGGGACAACATTTGTTGCCGGGCATTGTGCCCATTTTTTCCCGCACCCATTTCGGGCGTCCAAAGGCAGGTGCTGACCATAACTAGAGAACTATAATTGACGATCAATGCGGTTTGGAGGCGCACAGAGTTCAAGACAGCAGCAGGTTCACGCGGGGTTGGCGGCCACCGAGGAGCCGACTGTGAAAGGACGGCTAGGCATCAGCTTCCGCATGTGCAGAACGAAGGCGCATCACATCCGCGTCCAGCCGGGAGACTGGCAGGACTAGGGGGGAGCGGCGGCGGCCAGCGGGAGACCGGGGGGATTTGGGGGGGGGGGCTCCCCGCGAGGTGAAGTCGCCGATCTTCTCGCTGGGGCCCGTGCCCAGATGCACGGAGGCGTCGGACCTGAGGAGTCGGATGAGGCCCCCGCGTCCCGCGCCTCCTCTCGTTGTGAGAAAGACGCGGTGGCGGATTTGTTTGTTTACCATTTTCGGTCTCCGAGGGCCCTCGCTGGGCCCCCGTCTTGAATGGCTCGAAGACCGTCCAGGGCTCTACTGCATGCAATTCGAAGCTTGGTTTGTGATGGATGGCAGAGCGGCAAGAAATTCTAGACGCTTCGCGTATCCCCACCAGCCCGTCCAGAAACGACGCCCAGGCGAGTAGAGGGTCGTCCTGAGGGGCTTTTCGGCGTCTTGGGTGCCTCGGGGGGGCCTCTGTGGGCCGTTCGGGATCCTCTTTGGGGCCTCCTGGGGGCCTCTTGGGGCCTCTTGGGGCCATCTTGGGGCCTTTGGGGGCCTCCTGGGCGCTTCTTGGGGCCATCTTTGCCCCTTGGGTGCCTCTGGGGGGTCTCTTGGGGCCTCTTGGGGGTCTCTTGGGGGCCTCCTGGGGGCCTCTTGGGGGCCTCTTGGGGCCATCTTGGGGCCATCCTGCGGCCTCTTGGGCCGTCCTGGGGGCCTCTTGCGGCCATCGTGGAGGAAATCGGCCAAGGAAGTATGGTTCCTTAATTGGAGCCCCCCCCCAGGAGCTCCAAAAATCGCTTCCTGGACCCCTCTCGGATCGCTCTTGGAGCGCTCGTGGCCGCTCTTGGAGCCATCCTGAGGCTCTCTTGGGCCCTTCTTGGAGCTATCTTGAGCCGTCTTGGAGCCATCTTGACGCCTCGGATGTGCATCGCAAGCGAAAAAGTGAGAACACCAAAAACATTGATTTTCCCTAGGGTGTTGAAGCATTTTGGCCTCTTGGATGCATCCTAATGATGCTCTTGTGGGCACTTGGAACCGTCTTGGAGAGTTCTTGGAACGTCTTGGAACATCATGGGGACCATCTTGAGGCATCTTGCGCTATCTTGAGCCATCTTGGAGGGTATCTTGGGCTCCCTGAGGCCCTCTTGGAGCCGCCTTGGGCCATCTTGGGCGCTCCAACGCGCCGCGGAACCCCCTGTCCAGGTCAGTGGGGAGGGGATAGGGGGAGGGGTAAACCCCTCCCCGAAGGGGAAGAGGGAGGGGTGGAAGAGGAAACTCGTTAAACCACCGACGCCCAGAGGGCTGGTGGGATTCTTGCATGCATCAGGTCTTTGGCTTCCTCGATGGCTCCTGCAGAACCCTTTGGAGGCGTCTTGTGACCTGCGGGGGAAGGTCCAGGGTCACCCGATCGTCTGGGGGTGCGCTGTGACGTCAGAGCAGATGTTCGGAGTATCTTGGGGCGTCCCGTGGCCGTCCGAGGAGTGCCAGTCGGTTCGTGTGCCAGGTGAGCCCACACTGGGCAATGGGTAGGCCTTCTTCGGTCCTCCTGGGGCCAGCGGAGGAGGGGCGACAGACGTTGGCAGCGCCAGGACGCTCGACAGAGTGCCTGGCATTGGCTCGTCCGGTCCCTGCGTCCCTGAGGATGGTGTTCCAGGCCCTGGCTTCGGCAGGGCACGATGGCAGCCGGCCTCCCACCGTTTCTGCGGAGCTGTCGACTTCTGGTCCTCCGGCTTCCCTGCGCCGACCGAGGCATTTCACGATCATCACCACCGCGGCGTTGCCCTGGCTCACGGGCACGTCGGTGAATCCGCTGCTGCGGGCCTTGTATTTGGCCAAGTCGGGGCGAGAGACTGTGCTGGTCATTCCGTGGCTAGAGATAGAGGACCAGCGGAAGGTCGGCCTCACTCGGCCAAATCGTTCAGTGCCGGTTTTCATGCATGCTCCGCGTGTGGATCATGTATTAAAAATGCAGGGATTTAGTATTAAAAGCAACGACGAGTTCATGCATACATTTATCCATATATTTCTCATGAACAAAACATCCAATATGTTTAAGAACCCTATATGTATTAGAAACTGCCCTGTCCGACGTCGGTGCGTAGGGCTCCTGGCGAGACGCAGGCAGGGCGGGTGCGCTCGCTGAACCTCCTGCAGCTCCTCCCCCGGCATCCTCGTCTTCCTCCTCCCGTACTCATCTTCTTACAGGGCAGTTTTTACTCCATAGGATTTTTGTAAATACCGGAATTGTAATACATGATTAATGTATGAATGCATGTATGCATGAATTCATCGTTGTTTTTGATATTGAACCCCTGCATGTTTAACACATGTTCCGCACGCGGAACATGTATTAAAAACGGCATTGTACCTTATCTTCCTCACCTCGCCCTCCTCGTTGACTTGAATTGACTTCACGCGCGAGTGACGAATCCACTTCGCAACGGAGACGGTGAGGCAGAGACGGCACACGACCCAGAAGACAGTAGACATGCATCTTTTTAGAGGTAGGAAGTAGTGGCCCCGTCCTCCAGGGCTCGACAGACTCTGGGAGAGTGAACGGGAGCTGAGGATGACTGTGGAGGCCTCGTTTGGGCATCCGACTTAAGAGGGAGTGCTAGGAGATGGGCGCCCATGTTGGACGGAAACGTTCCTGTCCAGGGTCGTGCTCCAGAGCTGCTGAGGGAGCGCTCCAGAAAATGCGGGCATGTGGCAGTCTGTTCCTTCCCGTCTCCTCCGTTCGCCATCCTGCGTGCCTCCAAGCTCCATCCCCTGTCTCGTTCTTCGTCCTTCCCGCCAGGGAGCAGAAAACTCTTGGTCCAGACAATTGATTCATCCTTGACGTACTGTGCGCTGGGGGAAAAGAGAAAAATCCTCCACTGCATCGGAGACGGGGGGACGAGGAGGAGAGGGAGGGAAAGGGAGAGAAGAAGTGTTAAGCAAGGATGGGACGGACGAGCAGGAGGAAGAGGAGGAAGAAGAAGAAGAAGCGGGAAGTGGAAAGAGGAGGGAAAATAATGATGAGGAGAAGGTGGAGTGGTGAGGGAGGAGGGAAGAGGGCTGAGAAGGAAGACAAGGAAGATGAGGCGGAGCAGGAGGAAGCGCGGATGCGGGCGGCGATTGACGAATCATCTTGCCCAGAGGCCCCATGTGTTCTTGAGCTCGTCGTCCTCTTATTGCGGTCCCGACTGTATCATTAGATCTGTTGGTATGACCTGCCCTCGGTGCGATCGAGCATTGAGGAGCGAGGGACGATGATCGGCAGAAGCGGGCGGTTGAGTCACGCCAGAACGAACGCAGTGGGCCCCATGATTGAAAAGCGTTCTCGTCAGGGGTCCTTTTCGGCCGTCTTTACGTAGTCATGTTGTACAGTATTGTTGGCATTTCGGTGTTATGCGCTCCTCTTTGGGGCTTCTGAGTGTCGTCGGAATCGTTCGGCGGCCTCATTGGATACCTTCTGACGCATCAGAGGTCTCTCAGGCCGTTGGGGACCTCTCGCTAGCTCACCAGCCCGTGTCACCGTGGGCGCTTCTCGGAAGTTGTTTGGGAGCCTCGGGGTCTGGGCCGTCTCAGGGACCTCTTGGAATTTGTTGATGCTTCTTGGGGGCCTTTTCGGCGGTCGTGGTGGTCGTTTGGGCTGCCCGAGGGCTTCTTGTGAGAAAGAGGCAGGTGGTGGCGGCGGAAACGGCTGGTCCGTCGGGTCTCTTCTTGCAGGCCAGAAAAAGGCGGGGATAAAGTATTGGTGTGTTGTAGCATGCTGGATTGACATCGTCCGTCTCAGAGACGAAACGAGATCGTGTGTACTAAAAGTCCGCCAACGTTGGGGTGACGGAGAGGGAGTATGGGGAGAGGTCAGGCTAGCCCGATCGAACTGTCAGCGTGCCCCGCCCGTTCCCATTGGTCCTCCCATAAGATAAGAACTACTTGTTATATACGTAATGGTTTCACCCTCTGCCGCCGGCCCCCCTCTGTCAGAATGGGATCCTGCAGAACTAAATTAGGATGCCTTGGTGCCGACTTGAAGAAATATCGGAACCTCATGCGAGGACGATTGGCAGTCCGTGACTTCAGTTACAAGGAATCGTGGCCTCGGGGTCGGGGGCGCGAGTCTCGCGTAATTTGCAGGGGATCACCGCCTCGGGGACGCAAGGCTGGCGTAAGTTACGAAGGATCGTGGTCTCATGGGCACGAATCTGGTGCAATTTCTAAGCATGCTGACCTCGGGAGCGCAGACCTGTTGTAAGTTAGAGAGGATTCTGGCCCTGGGAGCGCGAATCCTGCGTAATGTACTTGGGATTCTGGCTCGGAGGCGCGAATCTCGGAAATGTTTGTAAGTGTCCTTGGACTCCCCAGGGAATTTCTGAGAATCCCAAGAAGGGCGGTGGCCATTCGCCCCACCCCCTTTCGCGCGCACAGTACAAATTTAAAGCAGAAAGCAGACAGCATACATACAAGTACGGATTATGGATGGACCTTCTCCTCTGGCATGATCGGACTAGAGAGAACAGGCAGCCAAGAGGGTGAGTAAGAGTTTTGCCATCGGCGTGCGCTGGCAGCCGCCCGCGCGAGCAAAAGCGCACTGCAGCCAGAACAGGGTCGGCAACGTCGCTGTTGCTGCTGTCGTTGTTTATGTTCCCCCTTCCTTATCCATCCTCCGCCTCCGACTCCCTCTCCTCATGTTCCTGTTCCTCCTGCGCCTATTGTTAACATCCTTCGTCCCCTGTCCTCCAGTATCTCTTTCCTCCAACATTGCATGTCCTGGCCAGCAGGGATCGGAGGGCCCGCCCCCAGGTCTTTCCTGGTGGGAAGACCTTCGATGAGCCGAAAGCGCAGGAGGAAGCCATTATAGAGTGGTGCCGCAATAGGGCAAAGATAGACCCCGGAAAGCTCCCGCTGAAGTTTTCATGGTACCGAGCTGCATACGTGCCAACTGTGAGGAGCGTCTTTCCCAAAGGCGACCCTTCTGAAGAGCTGGGTGCTGATGACCCTCGGGATGTACTTATACTGGAGGAGCCTGAGCACCTCTGTTGGTACCACCTGGGCAGGCGCTGGACAGAGGTTTTTCCTCACGTTATCGGCATCGTACACACCAACTATCAAGACTATTTGGTTCAACAAGGTGCTGGCGACAGGCCCGTCACGGACGTTGTGCCGGATAGCGTCAAAGAGACGGCCGTGTTCGCGGCGTCCACTTTGGTTTGTAGTGCGCATTGCGATGTGAATATTAAGCTCTCCGACACAATCATGCCGCTGCCAAACGAGGTGACGTGCAATGTTCATGGTGTTCGGCAGGAGCTTTTGAGCTTGTTTGTGCGCGTGCCACCGTCAGCTTTCACCGCTAGCCTGCTCAAACTTCCTTGTCACGCGACACCATCGGGGGTGGACAGACCTCCTACCCTGACACGTCGATCAAGGAATTGGCCGTTTTCGATTCGCGAGGGGGCATCGCGGCCGTCATTTTTGCGGGACCAGGTCCGTCGGTTTCGGTCCCAGGCCGTTTTCATTAAGGGGAGGTTCATTAAAGGGAGGTTTGTCCACCGCCGACACCAAGCTGACACTGCCTTCCGCCATGATGTGAACGTGTCTGTGCTTCGTGCCTGTTGCATACAGCCAAGACGCTGAAATCAGGAACAGTTTTGGTTCGGAAGGGGCTCGATGTTCCTTGGGTTCCTCCAGTGCCGTCCCTCTTGCCCTCCAGGGGCACGGAGGCGCTTTCGGGGCCAAGAGGGGGCCTCGTTCCTTGTCTATCGTTCCTTCTTTTAGCAGCCCGACTGTACGCATGCTGCGACCGTTTTCCTTCGCATCGGCATGCCGCCTCGACGCACGCACGATGGCGCGTGCCGAGGTGCAGCTTCCCTATCCGGGCGGGGCGTGGCCTCGTCGACCCGACCCAGGCGAGCAGGGCAGGGTTGCACCGCCAGAAGCCTGGAGCGCGATCCAGACGGGGGATCCCCTCCCCCCTCCTCCTCCTCTCGCTCCTCCTCCTCCTCCTCCTCCTCCTCCTGCTCCTCCTCCTCCTGCTCCTCCTGCTCCTCCTGCTCCTCCTCCTCCTGCTCCTCCTCCTCCTCCTCCTCCTCCTCCTGCTCCTCCTCCTCCTGCTCCTCCTCCTCCTCCTCCTCCTCCTCGCTCCTCCTCCTCCTCCTCCTCCTCCTCCTCCTCCTCCTCCTCCCATCCGGGAGCCCAATTTCGGAAATTGGATCGTATGCATTGCTAATGGCGGGCTGTTCTTGAATCCCAGAATTTGTGTCACGGTCGGGGACGACGTCGGGGTGGTGTGGTGTGCACTGTTTTCCCGTTTTCTTTTTGGGGAACAATGAAACATGTATACACCAGGGTCCCGTATACACCAGGATCCGTTCTCCAGTGCAGATTTCAGTGCAGGGCCGGAAACAGCGGCGGTGTATAGAGTTCGGTTCCCTACATCTCTGGAACCACTGCTCGGAGCGTCGCTTTGCTTACCTGGAGGTGGCTGTTGGGAGGCACCCGTGCGCGGGCCATTCTCGGGCTCATCGGTGGATTGGAACGGCACGTGTTGCAGAGGCAGTTGCTTCCATGTCTAGGGCGGGGGGGGACGTGTCTCTCACTGGCCCATAGTGGCTGATTCTTCGCGCTTCGCGTATCCCCATCAGCCCGTCCACAGACGAATCCCAGGCAAACTGCAGTGAGCAAGGGAGTGAATGAGCATCAGTGAAATAAAGAAGAGAGAGATACAACTCAAACCAAATGATGGATCAGCCGAACAAGCCTAAAATAGTCAGCCTGGGGCTCTCAGAGATCATTTGACTTGTTAGAACTATACTCAGCCTCTCTTGTGACATGTTCAGGTGCGTTTGGGGACCACTTGGGGTCACAGTTGGCGCTACGGAGCGAAAAATCGCCTCTTGAGTCAATATTCGCGTGGTACTCTCATGTGTGCCCTTTTCGGGCCCTCTTGGGCCATATCAGAAGCCGCAGTGGAGAGAAAAACACAATAATTAAAGACCATCGGTGTTCACAGATTTGGGAGCCCCCTTGGGAGACTCGGGGCTGTCACGGGACAGTCTCGGGTGGCCCTTGGGAGGGCATGTCAGAGCCGCTCTCCATAGGCCAAGCAGTACCGTCCCCGCCATCTTCGAGGCACGTGGGTCGTTTTGGAGCTATCGAGGGCCACCTTGGGCGCTTTAGCTGCCGTCCCCCCTAGTCCAGACAGCCCGGGGAAGAAGGAGCACGGGGAGGGGAAGGGAGGAGAGGGGGGGGGGGGGGAAATCTCAGGGGAAGGGACGGCTTTTCTGGAAGAGCTGGCGCGCCAGACCGCTCGCGCCCAAAATTGTCCGTACGGCTTTCTGTGTTCTCGCCCGGTCCTCGTCTTCCCGTCTGCCCCGTCCGTCGGGTTCCTCGCCGGCCTGCAGGAGTTCCTGACCATCGGTGACGCGTGCAGCAGGAGAGGGGAGGGAGAGGGAGAGGGAGAGGGCAAGGGAGAGGCAAGGAAGAGGGAGGAGTAGAGGAGAGGGAGAGGGGAGGGATGGGGAGTAGAGGAGGAACGAGAGAGGGAGAGGGCAAGCCGGGTGCGCTCGCGCCTCCTGTGGCATCCTGCCCCTCCCACCCACCCCTGCTCATGGCGTTGTTGTTTTCTCTATCCGCGGACGCGTGCCATAGCGGACCTGGAATTCCAAGCAAAAATGCAACATCGTGCCATGCGCAACTTGAGAAGGGGAGTTGCGTGCATCGGAGGAGAAGGGGGAGGAGGAGGAATAGGAGGAGGAGGAGGAGGAGGAGGAGGAGGAGGAGGAGGACCGAGGAGGAGGAGGAGGACCGAGGAGGAGGAGGAGGAGGAGCTGGCGGATGAGCATGGGGAGAAGGAAAAGGAGGAGGAAGGGGGTGGACGAGGACGAACAGCAGCAGCAGCAGCAGGAGCTAGAGTGGGAGGAGCAGGAGGAGCAGGAGGACCAGGGGATGGCGGAGGGGGGGAAAGCACGGGGCGACAACGACGAGGAAGGACTCACATCAAGAAGAGTAGCCCGAGCTGGGGGGCGAGAGCCGATTGGATCGATGGTGGCAAAGCGCCGATCCTGCAATGGAGTCCACGCTGCAGCGGCAGCATCTTTTTGAGACGCCGAAAGTTCTCCGGCTGAGAAGGCCATCGAAGATACCAACGTTTGAAACCCTGCGTGTGAAACATCAAGACGCGGAGGTGGACGGACCACTCCCTGGCCATCTTCGGGGGAGAGAGAGGAATAATATTTAGTTAGCCCTCAGAGGACGGGCTCAAGGGGGCTCAAGGGGGCTCAAGCGAGACGGGCTCAAGGGGGCTCAAGGGGGCTCCGCGCGCGCGGCCCCGCGCGGGGGCTCCGCGCGCGGCCCCGCGCGCGCCGGCGCCGCCGATGCCATGGATGTATCAGTTTCATCGGATTCTCTTGTTTCGGAACTGGCTGGGGTTACTGCTCTCAGGCAGCAGCTTTCTGATATTGAAGCTTCCTTTCTGCGGGAGGTCCAGGACTTGCACCCCGAAGTGGATGAGCATCTGTTGGAACTTGTTCAAAGGCATCTTCGAAGTACACTGGAACCTTTGGAACATAGAATACAGCATTTGGCAGGTAGACTGTCAGACATGGGAGCCCGCTTGCAGAATCTTCATCAACGGCAGCTTGAGGGACCGCCACCTTCTAAGAAGTGTAAACGCGGCCTACCTGGTGAGCATTCTGCACATGTTTTGAACACCGAACGCCCGGATCCGTCTGAGCACAGACCTTCTCGACACGGTGTGGATTTCCTCCGTACTGTGACTTTTTCGGAAGGCGGCGAGGGGGCGGGAGGAAGAGGTGAGCAGGAGACTATTGAATTCGTGTCTTGGAATACCCAAAAGAGGCCTTTTTCCAGGGCTAAGCATGTACTTAAGGACTTTCGTTCATTGTTTGGTGGAAGAGCTTTCGCAGCGTTCCAAGAGATCCCCCGCTGGGGCTGTATCGTTTCTTCGGGTCTTTCTTTGCGCAGTGTTTTGGATTGTGATTGCGGTTCTATTACCCTCAGCTCTAGTCAGCGACATCGTGTGGGAGAAACACGCATCCCATTTCAGCATCGTGGTGGTGCAGGGGGTCATCCTGGTTTCAGCGCACGTATTGGACTACTCTGGAGGTCAGGTGGTGTCCAGCAACACCTTGAACGAGCTCCTGGATTGCATCAGCACTGATAGGCAGAAGGTGGCGGGTAAAGGATTGATTTTTTGCCTATTGGTGGGTACTGATGCCAACACATCTGCGCATCCAGTTTGTTCTGATACAGTTTGGCCTTTTTGTGCACGGCCTTTGAAGTCCCACAGGGATGGTCACCGCACGTGTTTCGCAAGTTTTCTGCAGAGCCTTTCATTGAGAGCTGCCAATCCATGGACGCCGTGTTTGCACACAGACTTGCTGTACACGAGGGTGGGCCGCAAGCGGACTTTACGGGGAAAGTCACAGATCGATTTTGTAGCCACTCCTCTTGGGGTATCTGCTCGCGCCCGTGCTGAGCATCGGCAGTTTCTCGATTCTGGCGAATTGCGCAAGTCAGACCTTCTACCTGTGCACGCCACTGTCACCATTTCTCAGACCATACGTTATCCGACACAGTCACCAGAGTCGCAGATTTACCGGAAGTTGAAAGCATGGATGCCGAAGGCGGGGGAGCAAGCGCATTTTTGGAACAATGGTTATAAACACCATAAGCCAGATGGGGATCTTACTGACTGTATCGATGCAGTTCGACAAGCAGCTATCGCGACGATCCAGGCTTCCGCTTCATGTGACCCTGTTGCTGATTTATACAGCGCGGACGCCTTGAACTTCGCGGCGGCCGTAGGTGCTCGCAAGAGGAGGAAAACGTACCATCACGTTCCTGTAGGATCTTCAGCGACAACGGGTTCTCAAGGCAAACGTGGGCATAACAAGAATGTACTTTGCAACCTCATCAAAAAGGAGAAAATCGTCGACGACACGCCACCTGTTGTTTTGCATTTGGGCGGAGAGGGCACTGCTGACAGATGCACTTGGAAAGAGTCTCTCCAGAACATTGGGATACAGAAGTTTTGTACGGATGCTGAACACACCGAGTCTCTCAACAGCAAGATTGGCCTCCTGAGGTGGGAAGCTGGGGAACGCAACAAGGGGGGGGCCCCATAGGCGTGCCCAGTAGGGAAACATATTTAGAGCAAGTGACACGCATAGCTGATCATACAAAGCCAGGTTCGGATATGATACCCGGTATTGCATGGAGGCACACGCCACATTTCATGAATATGTTGTTGTACGAGTTGTTTGTAGATCGTTTCAACGACATACATTGGACAAACAGTAGTGTGGATACGTGGGGTGACTTCGAAGTTTTAGGCATCCGCAAAACTGAAATTCCATCAGATTTTGGTGATTTTCGATGGTTGGATATCATGGACCACGTTTTCAAGTTGTATTGCTCTACAGTGTACGCTGCTGCCACCCCCTCTGCTGCGGCCACTGCGGAAGGCGAAAAGCTTTGGATATAGGAAGGGGGCGATGGTTGACGATTGTTTTGGGTGTTATTTGAGGCTTTATGTGTTGCTAAGAAATGGGGGCTGCCATTATATTTGGGTGCGCAGGATATCAAGACTGCTTTCGACAGCGCTGAGCATGTGGACGCGATTTCTGTTGTACGCGGGGCGGGGGCGCCCCCGCACCAGGCGTTGGCTATCGCCCGGGAAATGCAAGGAAAACGAGCTACCATGCATGTGCCAGGTGTCGCGAAGACAGATACCATCCACATGAGCAAGGCACTCAAAACTGGTGGGCGCATCGAGCCCAAGATCTTCACCATCATGTTCGACGAGGTACTCGACCGCTTGGAGGGTGAGTGGGGGGACATTGGCCTCGGCTTCACATTGCCAGACTCTGGGCTGCGAATGCCAAGCGTTGCATGGGTGGACAACAATTTTCTATTGGCAGTAAACAAGCAGCAATACGAGTTCATGAGTCGCACTCTCACGAACGCGATTTTCGACAAATACGGTTGGATGTGGAAGCCGTCATCGATGGAGATTCTTGCGATTACCGACGAACCGTTGGAAGACAAACTCTACTTCGGATCGCAAGCGGGTCTTTTGACGTATAAGATAGTCAACTCCATGGTGGCCTTGGGTGGGGTTTTGGGCCCAATTCATCCCGACCAGGCTTTGTTACGACACCGGCTGGGCAAAGGAGACAAGAGCTACTTCAAGATCAGGCGGCACTTGGTGGGCAAAGCTCCGGTGAGTGTCAAATTGCAGGCGTGGGCAACGAGACCGCGGGCCTCAGCTGCATCCCTTTCGCCAGTCGCCCACTGGACAAAGTCCTTACTTATGGAAGCTATCCGTTGGGAGCGGATGCATTTACGCCGGGTTTTTCGCATGAAGAGGCTGGCTGAAGAGAGCCAGATGCAGCGCAACCGACGTACCCAAGGAAAGCTTGATAAGTGGTACGACGCTTGTAAGTTCAAGCCAATTCACGCAGTCATCCTAGAGCGAGTTTACAGCAGCCTCCAACGGGGGGGAAACATTTGGAGAGCTAGCATCTTCAATGCGGCGCGAAACCTACGTGGCATCAGCGCGGCCAAACGGAAACGGGAGTCTGAAGATCTCGTCCTCGCTTGGAGAGGTGACAAAGTTTGTGTTGACGACCTTATGGTGCGAGTTTGGGGCCTAGATTGGAGGGTGTGTTTGAGGGGGCACGTCAGACAGAATAGCACGGCACAGGGGGGGCGCCTGTTTGCGGCTAGAGTGCGAAGCCATTGGGCTACCGAAGCCTCCTGCCCACTATCTGGCTGGCGAGGGGGCGCAGTCTTTCATTCCAGTTCTTGCCAAGACGACGTTCCCGAAGGTTTGGAGAATTTGCCAGCGCCTCCACCTCTTGGTCGAGATGCGGTTTTCTACCAACACTGTTCTCAAGACAGCCAGATTGAGTTTGCGGTGGGCAATTTCACCGTCTCAGGTCTTGCGAACGCAACTGCGGCGATCACGAATGCGAAGCACGAGCAGACAGTCCACAATATCAGGCGTGCGTTGTGGAACATTTTCCGGCGAGGTTTCCAATGCAAAGGCGGCTATCTGAACCCAGTGGATTGGAGAGCACGAGAGTGGAATACTGGAGCGGACTTTCTGGTCAAGCATGCAATGATGACGAGGAGCAGCGGCAGTGCACTTTCTCCGGGCATTTTGGCGCAACATATTCACCGGGCAACTGCGTTGCAGTTCTTTTCGGACGGTGGCTTCACTGAAGGGCTTGGTGGAGCATATGGAGTGCAATTGCTCGCACACGCCGGACATGAACGTATTCTGGTTGGATATTTGTACAAGTTTTCTGCGCGGGAGACTTCGGCATTTGAGATGGAGTTGAAAGGTTTGGAAGCAGCGGTGGGCATCCTCTGTCATGGCAACCCGAGCAGGGGCGCTAACCTCAAAAAAAGCCCTCAGAGGAGGAGAGAGAGAGATATATATATAGAGAGAGAGGGAGAGAGAGAGAGAGAGAGAGAGAGAGAGAGAGAGAAAGAGAGAGAGAAAGAGAGAGAGAAAGAGAGAGAGAAAGAGAGAGAGAGAGATAGAGAGAAAGAGAGAGAGAGAGAGAGAAGAAGAAAAAAAAAAAAAAAAAAAAAAAAAAAAAAAAAAGAGAGAGAGAGAGAGAGAGAGAGAGAGAGATAGAGGGAGAGAGGGAGAAGCAATGGGTGGGGAAGGAAGAGGAGACGCTAGAAGAGGGGGGAATGAGGGGCAGGGAACAAAGAGAGGGGGGGAAGAAAGCCTCGTGCGCTCGCGCCACATCTGTCATCACTGCGCCGAATCAGTCCGCCGCGCGCGGTGTTCTTGCTGCCCACGTGGCCGTCGCGAGCAGGACTTGCCCCATCGCTTGCCCAATCGGCGAGAGGGGGCCTTAATTACGTTGGAGGAGGAGCGCAACGTCAGTGCAGCACAGCGCAGCGGTTGAACATGGGCGCTGCTACGCCCCCCTCGCGCCATTCCCGCAGCCGTTTTAGGCCCAGGCTGCCCCGACGAGAGGTTCGAGGGGCAGCTGCGCCAACACTTGCTCTCGGTGAGGGCCGCCGACCGCTGGTGTTGAAAAGGTCGCCACGTCGACAGTGGCAGCGGCGCTACTGTCAAGTGGGTTCGATCCACGGCGCGGCGTGCCGTCGCGGAAGTCGCGACGGAGAGAGCTTCGGTGAAGCCGCCCACGGCGCGGGATGCCGAGTCCGCACGCAGGAGAGGTCGCGGGCGCCCCCGCGAGGCGGGGCGACGTGGACGCCTGGGCGGAGGCAGCGCGGGCGATGGCGCGGCGCGCCGCGCAGGGTGTTCCGACTGCCGACCCCAAGGGCAATTCCCAAGGGGCTGAGGCGGGATTCTGCTGAACCGACGATGGGTCGTGGCGGGAGCACGCCCGCGCCAAGCAGTGGAATAGCACGCAGGAAAAACCTTGCGCCTTCGGGGCGCGGCACGCCCACGGGGGAAGCAAGGGGGGCCGCGATGGCGGATTGGGCTCGCGCGCTGGACGGGGACGGGGCACTCGCGACAACCCCGGGCTGGAAAGGAGCCGTCCCTGTACGAGAAGTGGGGGCGTTGAGTGCCGCAATGGCCATGGCTTAGCGGGGCGACCACCTGGCATGGGTGGGCGGCGGCACACCTGGAGCTGGGACGGATGCGCCACCGTCGGCGAGGAGGGCGGGCGGGATCGCGGAGATGATGAAGTCCGTTCTGGAGTTGGACGGCAAGTCCGTGCCGCTCCGAACGTACGAACGTCGGGTCAATATCTTCTAACGGAACACCTCGATCCCGCCCGAGCGGACGGGCGGCCGCCTGCTTTCACGACTTTACGGGGGGCGCCGATTCTAAGCTGGAGAATCTCGACCCTGAGAGTCCCGCCAGGCCGGAAGGCCCAGGGGCTGATGCGTCACTTGCACACCAAACACGACTAGCAAAAAACGTTGAAGGTGAGCATTTTGGTAGATACATTCGGAGAAGCCCAATCGCAACGCTGGCGAGGAGACCCCCCCGCGTTTCGAGACACGCCGCGGGTCGAATATCCGCGAGCTCGAGGAGGTAATGGAGGGCCTCTCAGCAAGCATCTGAAGGTCCAGCATTTTCTGAAGAAGACGCGAATGGGCGGCGATGCGGAAAGCCAGCTCGTCGCGGGCGCGGGGAACGAGCTTGCGCACGAGAGAGAAGCTGCGCGACTCGGCCTAGGAATGCATCTCCGGCGCGAGCGCGCCCACGAAGTTGGCGGCGCCGCCCGGCGGAGTAGATCGAGAACATTTCAATGGGAGTCGGCGGAGGCCGCGCCGACATGGTGACATGCTGGCTGGGGCGGACCCCGCCCCGCGCTCTCCGTCGAATATGAGGGGGGTGGGGGGGCGCCCAGGAGGGGGCTGAGCAGGCAGGCCCCGACTGGCCCGACGATGGCGAGCACGTGGGCGAAGAGCCGGGGTCGGTAGCCGACTCCGAAGGGGGGGACAGGCTGCGCCGAGCACGATCCGACCTTTGAGGAATTCTGGGCCTTCGATTGCTGACGGAACGCTGCAATCATGACACATGCGAAGAAGGCTCGCTCGGAGGCTTAGAATGCGCGCGACCTTCACATGGCACCTGGCGGGAAAGCCGGCGGCGGTCGCGGCGCCAAGTCTGAGCGGATCAACGATCGTGAAACCCGCCCTGCCCAGAGCGAGGCGAGCGAGGCGCGGCGGGCTGGGGCGCTGGAGGGTCGACCCTAATGCTCGAGGGCCCCCAGCGAGGGCGCCGTCGAGACGGCGCGCCGGGTGGCTGCTTGCGCCGCGCCCGCGGAGCACGGGGGGCGAGGGCGCCCGCGATGGCGGGGCCCCAGTTCGCGCTGATCGCAGAGACCGGCGACGAGGTCTGGCGCGTCGCAGCGGGCGCTGCGCGCGCCGGGGCCACGGCGGGGCTCGCGCGGCATTGGCGGCTGGTCTCGCGCGCCAGGAAGACGCGGGGGCGCGAGTAGAAGGCTCGCGAGCCCTGCCGATTTGGCCCTGGAGATACGATCGATCTACACCCACCAGGCCCTCCTGCTGCCCGTGGAGCGAGACGGAAACGGAGTCGCGCTCCGGTTCGGCCCGGCAGCGGGCGCACATCCACGCGAAAGAAGCCGAGGTCGCGTTCGGGGCAATCGAACGACGCGGCGCCCAGTCAAGGAGCTGCCCTCGGGGCGCGCGGCCACGGCTGCCATCGGCCGCGGCCCGGCCGAGTTTTCGACGCGGCGAGTCGCTGCCGGGCGGGGGGCCGAGGTCGCGCATTCCGGCTCTGATGTCCCTGGACGGGCGCAGGCAGGCGCTCTCGGCGGCGCGGGCGCGCGCGCGCGGATGCTGCCATGGCGCCCAATGGCGGCGAACAGTCGCGGCGGCGGCTGCGGGGCAGAGCGGCGGCCGGGATCGCGTCGGAGGAGGGCGTGGAATTGGTTTCCGGGGCTGGGCCAGCCGCTCCGCGGAGCAGTTCGGCCGACGCTCGGGCGACGCGACCAGCATTGGCCGACGCGCGGGCGCGGGGGTAATCGAGGGGGCGCGGGGCGCGGGGGCGCCCGCCAATGGCGCCGGAAATTTTAAGAGGCCCCACCGCGTACCAGGCGAGCGAGGGCCGCGCGGGCCCGGCGGCGAGCCCGGCGCTCGAGGCGCGCGTCTGCGGAGATTGGCTGCGCGAGACCGGCGGCGGCCAGTGGGCCCGTCGCCGCTGGAGGACCTACCGCGCCGATGCAGCGGAGTTCTTCGCGGGACAGAGCGAGGTCGGTCTCGTCTGATCCACGCTCGAGCGGGCGGCGGCGCGCTCGGAAGTGGCGCGCTCGGAAGTGGCCTCGGCGAAGAGAGCGCCCAAGTCGAAGCCTTGGGAATGCCGCGGCAGGCGCGTCCGCGGCTGGCCGCGGTGGAGCCTCCAGGGGGCGCCCCAGGGGGCTGGCGGCGCAGCTTGCGGGGGAGCGGCGCCGGCCGAGAGCGGCGGCGAGCGGCGCCCGCGGGGCGCGCTGGAAGGATTCACCAAGAAGGCAGCCCAGAGCAGGACGGCGGCCGCGCACTGATGCGAAACGGCGCGGCCATCCGAGACTCGGCAGAGATGCCGATGGCCGAGGCGGCGGAAGGCGCGCGCTGCGCGCGGCCCCGACCAGCGCCCCGAGTTCATGTGGCGGGCAACGAATTTTCCCGAGGTCGCCGCGGAAGTGCGGGGGGAGCGCAGCGCTCGAAGTCTGGGCGAGGCGCAGGGCCCGGACGCGGCGGCCCGTCGCGGCCCGAGCCCCGCGATGGGGCTCGAAAGAATCGGGCGGCGCGGGCGCGCGTCGGAGATGCGCGCCTCGGGCCGCGGCCGCGGAGCGCGCGAGTCCGAGAACCGCGGGGCGCTGCGCCCCGTCGGGGCCGGAGAGGCCGACGGCGGTTTCGGAAGCGTCATCCGAGAAGGCGACGCGTTCAAATTCCCCAGCACCGCGACCAGGAAGTCGATGGCGCTGCAGATGGAGCCCGAGCTGCGGCGGAGCCCGAGGCGGCTGCGCATCGACGCCGGGCGAGCCCCGACGGATTGGCTCGGCTGGTCGCCGCGGCGGGCGGCGCCGAGTGGCCATCGTCGGGGCCGAGGCGCTGGAGTGTTCCACCTGCGCGGAGCAGCCGCGGGCGCGGCCGCCCCGTCCCGCGCAGTTGCGGGCGGGCGACTTGACGTTCGACGAGGTGGCCTTGGAGGATATGTTCGAGATCTCCGACTGGGGCGGGGTGGCGGCCCCTGCCGGCGCGGGGTGCGACCGCCAGTCAGCTGCGCGCAGGATTAAACTCTGGTGTCGCTACGAGCTGCACTATTAGTCGAGCTGCGCGGGGCCTCGGATTAGTTCGCGACTGACAGCGACGCCGCGCAGGGGGCCGGTAAGCGGGCGCCCCGTGGACGCCCTGCCCCGCGGCGCGCCCGCCTGCGATCCGACGGCAGCTTCGGCTTCGCGGCGAAAAGGCAAAGTGGGGCAGAACATTCACGAAGCCAAGAACGCCATGAAGGGGGGCACTTGGCACGGGGCCCATTGCGGGCCCTGGCCAGGGGGGCGGGCGCCGCGCTCGCTCAACCGTTTCCCAGACGGAGCGGGCGCGGCCCGTCGTTTTTGTTTTGCCTTCCGGGCAGAAATAACATTCATCGGGGAATGATGGCGCGAAGGAAAAGCGGCGAGCCGTCGCCCTCGCGTCGCCGAGGAAGGCGACCCACTGGCCAGACGATTCAAGATTCGCGAACATTGCCAGCAATATTTGATCAAGGCGCGGAGCCCGGGGCTAGCGCGACGCGCGGTGGCGGCGCGGGGCCAGGGCTCGTCGAGAGCGCGGGTGGACGGGGGCCTCGCGCGCCATTTCCAGCTTTTCCGCGCGGTGCGAGGGTGGCGGGTCAGTGGGCTGGAGCGGCGCGGGCCTGCAATGGCGCTCGCGCGTCGCAATGACCGCGTCTGAGCGCAGCGCGGTGGCCAGCCGCTCTCGGCGGCGCCAGAACGCCCGAGACTTCTGAGTCCCGGATTTGAGCGCCTCGCCCGGGCGCGCGCGCGCCCGGCCGGCCGAGGATGGAGATCCGACGCGGCTTTTGGACGAAACCATGCAGGCCGTGTGTCGGAGGCGGCGCTGGCGTGAACAATGGGCCAGAGGATCGAGAGGCGGCCGACGGCCCGGCGTCGGAGAAAGAATCAGAGCCAGAGGTCGATCAGCCGAAGCAAGCACTCACCGAGCAGGAGCGCGCGGAGACGGGGGCGACAGTCGCCGAGATTCCCCCGCAGCCCCGCGCGGGCGCGCAGGGCGGCGAGGCGCCCCGCGGCGTCCCCCCAGAACGCAGGGGCACGAGGTGACGCCCAGATGGCACGCGAGCAGACTGGGCCGTTCTGCGCATGGCCTCGGGGAGCCTCGGGCCCGGAGCACCCCCGAGGAGCGCTTCCCCATCGAGAAGTGGTCGTTGCGGACGAGCGTGGCAAGATGGGCTCAGCTGATCCATCCGCGGGAGGTCGCGGGGCTGGCCGCTGACCGAATTGCTCGCAGTCTTCGGGGAGGAAAGGAAAAGGATACGAGAGCCGACACTAGCTAGCATCGGTAGTTCGAAGGCCCCGCCGCGGAGCGGAGCACCGAGGGCACGGTCGACGGCGGGGCGCGACCAGCCGGCGACGAGGCGGCGCCCTCCTACCACGGCGGGGCGGGATCCAAGCCGCTCGACCGGAAGACCCAGGACTGCCGGCTGAAATAGGACGAGATCACGCCGGAAGACCAAGGACAATTCTGGGCCGCAGTTGCGTAGGAATTGGGTTCTTGGTTGCGCTACAAGCGCGCGCCCGCGCTGGAACCGGAAGAGTCACAGAATGTGCTTCGCACGGTGGGCCGCAGGCGAATCTTCGGTAGCGGCGCGAAGTCAAAGGATCAGAATGCGGCCTTGCGGGCTCCCGAAAACCGACTGCCTTGGAAAGCAAAGGCCGGCTGCGCGTGCAAAGCCACCGCGGTCCAGGTGCCAAGTTGGGCACCGTCAGTGCCCCCCTGGCATAGCGTTCCGTTTCCCGCGCATGTTCTTGCAGCTGGCAACTAACGTGAGGTGGCCCCTCAGTTGGCGATCGGCGACGTGCCCGGCGCGTTTCTGCAAGCTGGGTGCACATCGACCCAGACAGGCGCCGCTCCACACGCGCATGCCGCAGGGTGGATTTCTCGGATTGGAACCAGGCCAGCTATCGAGAGTGGGAATGCGGCATCTACGGATTGTCGGCCATCCCCAGGGCTCGGTTAGGCACTCTCCGAAGGACCATGGTCGAGGAGACGGGTTGGAAACGGATTCAGCTAGACGCGTCTTTCGTTTTCCACTGCGCCAGGGACCAGCTCGCCGGGGCGCCGGTCGCCCACGTGGCCGGCTGCGTGATCGCGCGCGACGGTGGCGAGATTACGCGAGCTAAGAAGCCCCAGGCAAGGGAGAGGTTCCCTGTCGGATCCTGGGCGGCAGTGCATGAGCAGGCCGACGGCGACCTGCGCGCCAGACGCCGCGTCAAGGGAAGCGGCGCTGGGTTGAAGCGGCATGTTGGAGTTCGTCGAGGGGCGACTGGGCGAAGTCAATCGCAGCCGCGCTGAGGGGAGAGTCCCGCTCCTCTCTCTAGGCAAGGCCGAGCTCCAATCCGCGACGGGGTCGCTCCCTGGCTGGCCAGCCAGCATCGGCTCGACGCGGCCTGCGAGACAGACCGGTTACCCGAAAATTCAGGAAGTTCCGACGCATGTTGGCAGCAGCGAGTTTAAAGAGTTCATTCGGGATGTTACGGCCAGTAGCGATGCTTGGTTGATCATCGCCCCCATCGAGGGTCGCATGGACGGGGGCCGCTGGCGCGACTCCTTCCCCGCGGGAACGTGACTGGGCCTGTAGGAGGCGCAGACCTTGCGCGGTTCAACCTTCATAAGACGAGGTCCCAGGCAGGGGTCGCAGCGGCGGCCGTCGACCTGGAATGCCTAGGGAAGGACGAGCTGCCGATGTCGATCCTGGACTGGCGGGGCCGCGCCAGTGCCAGCCACCGCTCGGTTGCGCTTACCTTCTCGGCCGAGACTGCGGCGCGCCTCGAGGGCCTTGTGGCCCCTGGACGAGTCCATGGGCTTTGCTCCGGAGTGCATCGAGGGCCCCGCAATGGAGCGTTGGGAACTACTGCTCACCACTATTGCGTTCGGGTCGCCCGCCGGAGCTGGCTCGGCGGCGGAGCGGCCAAATCGCGGACGGGAAGGCGCGGCGCCGCTGGACCTCGGTCGGGGGCCTCGCGAAGACGCGCCCCCCGGCGGCCTCGCGCTGGCGGTCAGCGGCGCAGGGGCAGCATCTCAGCCGCTCGCCTCGCGACGCGGCCGCCGAGGTTGAGGCGGCGGCGGTGGCCCGCTCGGAGACGCCCGAGGAGCGGGCCCCTCTGCATGCCAAGCTGCGAGCTCGGGGGCCGCCCGAGTGCGAGGGCGGCGGCGGCGATGGCGGCAGCGCCGAGGGGCCCGGGCTGCCAGAGAGGAAGCCGACGGGGTCGGGTGCCCAGGTGGTCGGCGCGGGGCCCGAGGCAGTCTTCCAGGCCGCCCCAAAGGAAGGCCGGCACGCCAGCTGGAGAGGGAGAGAGAGAGAGAGAGAGAGAGAGAGAGAGAGAGAGGATAGAGAGAGAGAGAGAGAGGAGAAAGAGAGAGAGAGAGGAGAGAGAAAGGGGGGAAACGGAAGAAATGAGGATCTATATATATATATATATATATACATACGTACATGTACACATATGTATGTATATATATGTGTATATATGGATATATATATATATATATATATATATATATATATACATGGAGTTCGAAGCGCAAGAAGGGCAAATCCTCGAGGGGGGGAAAGGCCAAGGACAGGAAGAGCAAAGACAAGGAGAAGCCCACAGCCGGTGACAAGGGCAGCCAGCCCATGCTTCGATCCTTTCGTAGTACCTGGAGCTCAGGGTGCGTCGTCTCTGCTGCGGGGGCGATGGACGCCGGGGCATTCAGTGCCCGCGGTATTCCGAGGACGGGACTCCGCGGCCGCAGGATGAGATGGTTGCCGAGGACAGCAAGTCACGTGGTGGGGGGGGAAGCGCCAGTGGCCCGTGGCCGGAGGCTCGGACAGAGGCCGTCAAACCTGCGCGGGGACAGCGATTCCCGACGCGTCACGCTCGGGGTGACACCGATGCGCCTCAGCAGGCGGTCTGCGAAGTGAGCCGAAGTCGACGGCCAACGGGCCGAGAGCGGCGGCCCCCGCGAGCGACCGAGTTCAGTCGTCGAGAGGCGACAGCCCGGCCCTGTCAGCACTCGGCTGCGCTTCAAGCATAACTAGCGGCCGATGCCTTCGGCCGCGCTGTGCCCGCTCAGCGGCGTCGAGCGGGCGGGGCACCGCGAACTTGCCATGGGGAGAAGGGAGAGAAGCAGTGGCCAACATGAGCACTGCCATGCCTCCCCTCGCGCACTCCCAGCTGCCTTTTTGGGCCCAGGCTGCCCCGGCGAGAGGTCGGAGGGGCAGCCGCGCCAACGCTCGCCTTTGGCGAGGGCCGCCGACCGCTGGCGGCGAAAAAGATCGGCACATCGACGCCAGCACTGGCAGAGCACCAGCATCTCACAGGGCGGCACAGCACGAACAAGGCACAGCCTGGCACAGCCGAGAATCTGCGCAGTCGGGGCCACAGCCCAAGTCGCGCGGGACGACCCGACCATCGGACCAGGCGGCGCTTCTCTTCTCCAGCCAAACAGCGATGCCAAGGCAAGCCCAACCGGGTAAAAAGATAGAGGGTTGTCCTTGCTGTTTGTGCCCTGGCCTGGACATGCGCCCCCGGCCGGCCGCGCTTGTCTGGTCGATGTGTCGCGCAGACATGGCGCACTTGAAATTGATGCGATATTCGGGCCGGCGCAACCGCAGCTTAGAATTGGTAGGCCACGCTGCCACAGCAGGGGGCCAAGGTGGTGCCAACGAACATGGCGTGGCCCGATGTAAGGGGCCTTCCTCCAGGGCATTTCGCAGCATTCCTGAGCAATGCAAACAAAGCGTTGCGAAGTATTGCTTGGAATCGCTCTTGGCATTGCTCGGCGTTGCTTGGTTTTGCTAGGCGCTGCTTGGCACTGGTTGGCGTTGCGCGGCGTTGCCTGGCGCGGCCCAGGCACACCTGGGCAACCCGAGCGAGGCAACCCGAGGGGGGGCGAGGGCCGCCTCTGACGAAAGGCCCCGCACCGTCCTGCTTGGATCACGAAGGGGCAAGAGCCCCTTAGGCAGAGCCTCCTCGGGGAACACGCTGCGCGACTCCCCTCGCCGCTTCCGCCCAGCTTCTCCCGGCGACCCAGAACGCCGAGCAACCCGCCCTGTTGCCTTCTGCCACCACGAACAGAGAGGCGGATGGGGGAAGGAGGAAGAAGTGGGGGGACGCAACGAGGAGGAAACATTCGGATCCACACATGTACGCCGCGGCGGCGAGAACGCCACTACGATCGACGGAAGCAACGCACCGAGCCTGAAACTAGGCCAGAGCTGCAGCGGGTAGCCACCTCGAAGGGCCAAGGACGATCCAGTCTCTCTAAATATTGTGAAGATCGCGAAATCATGCGCGCGACATTGTGCGAGGGGAAGCAGGAGTTCGGTTGCCCGGTGCCTTGTGAGAGAGGTTG